CAAAACAGGTTGCAATTGCAGCTGGAATTTTGCTTGGTAGTAGTAACTCATAAATCTCAACGGGATGGTAGAATGGATCGCATTTTGAGATGTGACCGTTATCGCAAAAGAGAAGAAAGAGATTTTCGTACAGCCACTCGGTTTGATACAAAGCGGAAAGGTTGTGGGTGTGAGTTCAGAGTAAAGGTTCGACAACTACGGAGTCGTGACGGTTGGGAAGTGATTGGTTACTCTAAATGGGGGTATCACAACCATGAGATGATAGTATATGAAGAGGGTCATCGACAACTGAGCGGCTTAAGTCCTGCTGCGAAACTAGTTGTGAAAGAAATGAGTGATGCTCAAGTCAAGCCTGCTAAAATATTAGCATCTGTGTTAGAGAAATTTCCAGAAGACCATCCAAACCGAAGACACATCTACAACGTCAGACAGCAACTCAGGTTTGAACGGTCAGAGGGAAGGAACCCTATACAGCAGCTGCTACACCAGGCACAATCACGTGGTTACCTGTTCTGGTTTGATTCTGATGAAGATACAGCGGAGGTGACTCATCTTTTCCTTGTGCATCCTAATTGTGCTGATATGGTCAAGTCTTGGCCATTTGTGATTTTGATCGACTCAACGTACAAGACAAACAAGTACAAGTTCCCACTAGTTGAGATCATGGGGATGACTCCAACGAACCAGAACTTTCTGATTGGTCATGCAATCATCAAGGATGAGACGGCTCCAAGTTATTATTGGGTGTTGGAGAAGCTGAGAAACTACATCGGGCCTAATGTTCATCCAGCAGCCATCGTCAGCGACTGTGAGGGAGGTCTCTTTGCCCCCATAGCAGAGCTGTTTCCCGAATCGAACCACTTATTGTGCACATGGCACATCAACAACTGCGTGAAAGTGAAAGCCTACAACCTTTTCAAGAAGAATTTGGAAATGGCAGAGAGATTGGTGAATGGCAAGTGGCGGAAGATCCTACAGGCTACCACAGAGGAAGCGTATGAGCGAGCATTGGCTAACTTCAGGGATTCGTACCAGTGGTGTCCGGCACTGGTGGACTATGTGATGCAGCAATGGGTCCCTCACAGGGAAAATTTTGTCAAATATTAGACAAACCAGGTACTTCATTTTGGGAACACTACAACATGTAGAGTTGAGAGCGCTCATAGAGCTATCAAGGACTGGATTGATTCATCGACCGCTGCTTTGGATACACTGTTCGCGTGAGACATTTCATCCGACTATTGCGTTTCTTGGGTCGTCATACAGACATTTCATCTGACTAGACATGTCATCCGATTTTCCAGTGCCACCGATTATACCTCGGTGGTACAACATTCGCACAGCGAGCGTAGAGGGTTGGGATGCGCTATATCATGACCGGATCCACGAATGGAACACCCTAGCTGCATTTTAGTTTTTCATGTTTACATTCTTTATTTGTAATCTTATTTGTACGTTGCTCTTTTAATGAGAACATTAATCTTTTATATTGTATTGCTTACTGCATTCTATATGTTGCATGGGTAAGTTGCGCGGATCCACAAACGGTTATATCAAAATTTAAAAACAGCAATGATAATATGTTTAAGTTGGAAGCTAAAAGAACAATCTAAAATGTTACAAACTTACAACATAATGTCCAATTTAATAAATTAAAACGATGATATTTAAAGTGCTCTATAAATAAAATGACAAAACCATCAGTAATCCCTCCTCGACGACGACTCCCACTGCGCAAGGGTCTGTTCCAGACTATCAACAACAGCTCTCCCTGTTGCACTCATGATGTCCTTCTCAAGAGAGAGTTTCTGTACGTCCTGCATTATCTTTCCCATCCACTGTATACAACAAAAAACAGAAGATGAAATACAATAACAACATATAAAACTTAATTAAAAGACAACGATAAATATAATATAAGACATACCGCTTCCATGGCAGTAGGCGGTGGCACATAATCATCATCGCTGTGGTCGAGATCTGCGATCAACCTCGGGTGCGAATACCGGTTGAACCATTCCATGTAGTAATGGTCACACATGGGAGTAACCCCAGAGGGCGGCCGCTGCAACTCCGCAGTCCATAAGCGGGCCACCATCGGAAACTGGTCCCACGTCCCGGTCATGATATCCGGCCATTGCACGACGTAGTCCCTCGACGATGCAGGTCGGACCGCCTTCATCGGGCATGCCGGGGGAGGAGGGACAACTTGGACAAATCCAAGCTGGCGAAGACAACGCTGGGGCATGTACGCCTCGACGATCTCACGATACTGAATGAGTCCCGTGTACAGGGTCCTGGGTACCCTAACACTAGGGTTCGGGCCGAAAGGCATCCAGTTCACCTGCACATAGTTTTAAAATTTAATAACATGAATATAATATGTGCAAATAATAAAATGTAGAAACAATTTATAAACGTTACCTCTAAGGGGGACAGCCTGTCCAGCAATAACCGTATCGATCGGAGGCGGTCAACGGACATCTTCTCCGAGCGCGGACTCCACGCACAAGCACGCGGCATCCCCTCATCAATAGGAACTGGGTCACGATGTGGTCGCAATGCAGGAAAGTACTCGTATATCCAGGTCTGCAATAGAGTCAGACACCCAGTGATACCTGCCGCGTCAGCCCGACTCGCAAATCCTAGTTGGCGATACAAATACGCCAACGTAGCCGATCCCCAGGAAAACTGGCCTACACTGTCGGGGTCACACGCCTCCACTATGTCGCGTGGCCTGAGCTTGTTTCCGCCGCTCTTATCCGGAAACAAGGTACATCCGAGGAGTAGAAAAACATAAGCACTCAGCTGTGCGTCGTGCGTCCTACGTGCACTGGGGTACAAACACTGCTGCAACACGGATGCGATCTTCACACCTCCGTGTTCCCAAACACCTAGCGCCTCGGTGTACAGTGCAGCCCTGTCCACCGCCAACAACTCCGCCAGCAAATCTGCCTGATCCGCATCAGCCACAGCACAAAGTCGTTTACCCTCAACACGAATCCTCAGAATGGCCTCGACGTCATGTAACATGATCGTCATCTCACCGAACGGAAGGTGGAAAGAGTTTGTATCCGGCTGCCATCGCTCAATGAAAGCCGTGATCAGCGTACTGTCAATCTTATCGTGCATGGTGGCAGGAACGTGATTCACCCCAGTGCCCTCCAGTCGCTCGAACATCTCGCTCTCCGCCGGCCAAGCCTCAGCCCATGTACGCAAAAAGCTACAAGTCTTTTCCTGGGTATGACATTTCAACAACCCCGTAACTGAAGGCCTCTCCTGGTCCTCCCAAATACGGGCAGCTATGTGTCCTAGAAAGCTAGGAATCACACTCCCGTCAACAGGCCCACCGGGCACCTCACTCCTAACAACCCAAGAATCATTACCGGCCCTCGACCGTTTCCTGCTTGCCCCAGATACAGTGGACGCAGATGATGTGCCAGATCTACTAACAAACCTACCACCCCTACCCTTACGCACCTCCACCATATGTGTCTCGTACATGTCATCAACCCTCTGACTGAATGGACCGTAATCATCATACGGTCCACTGCCATCGTCCACATCCTCATCCTCATCTGCGCCCTCCTCCTGCTCCTCCTCCTGGTCACCCTCCTCAGCATCATCATCGTCATCCTCATCCCGACGGTGGATCCGTTCTCTACGAGCTGAGGCCGAAATACCACGGGATCTGACATGTCTATGCCCCGACCTCTCCACTGAATAGCTTCTACTAAGAAGCTCTACATTCTTCCCCGCACCATGACGACCCAGTGAATTCTACACAAAATTTTAAAATATATAAACATACAAAAATTTATACGAAAAATAGCTACCACTCCCAAATCAAATAAACTAAAAACATACAAATAATTGTAAACAAAATATAAACATAGAAAAAATACAACAAAATTGAAAAAATTTATAAAAATAAACAACAAAATATAAAAACAATTCAAAAATATATTACACAAAAAAAAAAAAAACATTATTTTAAAACAAATATAAAAAAAAAAGGGGGGGGGGCGCCTTGGCTGGACGCCCAGCCAGCGGTGGTGGCGCTAGCTGCAGACGTCGCCACCAGTGGGCTGGCGCCTGGGCTGGACGCCACAGCCACGGCTGCGGCGCCTTGAATAAACGCCACAACCGTGGCTATGGCGTCCAGCCCAGGCGCCAGCCTACTGGTGGCGGCGTCTGCAGCTGGCGCCACCACCGCTTGCTGGGCGTCCAGCCAGGGCGCCCCACCTCCGTCACGGCGGTTTTTCCTTTTTTTTTTTACAAATTGTACCTTGCCTCCTTGGGACCTCCTTCCCTCCGCCGCCGCCGCCAGTTCCTTGCCTTGCCGCCTCGACATTGCCGTTGTTTGAAATTTTTTTTTTTTAGAAAGGTTGAAAGAAGATGAGCGATGAGAGTGTGAGTGATGAGAGTGTGAGTGTTTTTTTTAGGTCAAGGGCAATATTGTCAAACCAAGTGAATTTTGTGGGCTTTATGTAGTAATTTGTGGGCGATGTTTAACAAATCCCCCACCTAATTCCTTGATTCCCACCTTCCCCGGCCACCCCTCCCCCACCACTTAATCGGCTCGCCACCCATTTTCTCTCCTTGAAAAGCCCTCCCCTACCCCGCGAAACCCTGGAAACTAGTCCTCTCAATCCCCCAAAACGGTACCCTCGAAATTCAGATTAGACCAAATCAGACCTTATTAAAATCAAATCATATCTCTTTATTTCACGTGAAGAGATCAAGTTCTTATTCTTACCACATAATCACTACTTGAATATGTATTATTTCTTCTCAAATTTGATTTCTTTCAATCTCTTCTAAAGTTTTGATTGCATTTAAAATTGCTATTGATTGATTGCTAGTATCAACTTGTCTTCCAATCCTTTCATCAACACCGATCTTTAATTTCTTATCTTATACTTGTATTTTTTTGAGACACGTAATCTTTATCCATTTAATCGTTGGTACATACTATCCCTAAGACAAAAATGATCATCTTGAAAAATTTATGCAAAGCTGTAAACATAAGGAACATTAAGAAGCAAAGTAATAGAGAATGAGCTAGGAAAAAATTATATTACATGTAACCATTTATAGTTTTAATAGGTTACACCCTTTCACAAGTGAGCTAGGAAAATTTGATTCCAAGTATCAGGAACACCAGGCAAGCACCAATGTATACAATCAGCATGATGCAAAGGGTCAGCCTTTTGTTCATCAGTCAGCAATTTGCCTCCTGTCTCTGTGTACACTTTGGTGTGTGCATCAACTCTATATTCTGATAATTGTGTAACATTAAGGAGGGTTATAGGGACCTTCATCTTCCCTATCACTTCTCCCACCACCTTCATTATCCGTTTATCGGACCCGGATCCCCAATGCCCTCTCTTCTTCACCGGTCTTGTTTCATTGGAGCACTTGATACCATCCTTATTGTTCCACTCAACAGGCCTGTATAAGGGAAAGACAATGAAGTTTAATTAAGGATGTGAAAAACTATATTGTCTAGTCAATTTAAGCCACTACTTTTGTGTAAAGTTAGGTGGTGGTAGCTACTATAGTGGAACCAAAAACAACCTGTACTAGTTACGGGATTGTTTGACATTGTTTTTTGTTTTTAAACGAAAAAAACAAACAAAAAATCAAAAATAGGAAACAAGAAATAAGATTTTCTCACTTTTCAGTTGTTAGTTTTCAAAATTATTATAATATTAATTTTAACAAGTTTGACTAATTTTTAGTTCATTATATGACATATACAATATGTTTTTTAAAAACAAAAAACCAATATACAAACAGCCACATCAATGTCAAACAAACCCGTAATTAAACGTAATTGTTTTTCCTAATGTAGTTTGGAATGGATCATGAAATTTCAAACGAGTAACCAATCTGCCCATACTCACTTTTGACTAAACTTGCAAAATCTCAAGTATCTTTGATAGAGGATCAATGGTTGAGAGCTTTTGCAAGGCTGAGACATAACTACTTAAGTGAGCTTTTGAAAGAAAGAAGGCCATACCTCATGTGAGTAGGAGACATTGTAGTGAAAAACACCCTTGTTTTGTTCGGATCAATGGTTGAATCAACCCAATTGGCCCATGTCTTTAAACCAAGTCTGTAAGCAACTGGAGCATCAAGCTCTTCATACCCTTCTTCTCCATTTGCAAATGAGCCCCATCTGTTAAATTATTCAATCACAAAACCTTTTAAATGGGAGTTTGGTATAATAATTTTTAATGTAACAAACGGAACACATTTTCATTTCTAATTGTTTGGTTTTGGTTAAAAGTAATAAATACTGTTTCCCGAGAGTGAGAAAAATCCCCAATTTGTTACCCTTGACAAACTAGTGGAAAAAAAATATGTTTTCTTTATCACAATCTACTCAAATTATTTCCATTCCACTAGAATACTCAAATTAGGTAAGGTTTATCATAGGATCATTTTACAATAGGCCAGTAGTCGTTTGAATACTGACTAAGGCCCTGTTCTCTTCACCTTAAAAAATAATATTAAGTAAAAATAAGTTCAGTTCAGTAAAAATAAGTTCAGTTCAGTAAAATTCAGTTTTCTTAAAGAATTATGACTTGGCGCATAACTTACAAAAAACGGTCATCAACAGGTAATGGGCCTGTTGAAGAAGGTGGGGGGCAAAGGTTGGATTTTTTTGAGATTACTGAAAGGTCGGATTTTTATTGTCATACCGGTCAAAGGTTGGATTTTTAGATTCCATTTTTCCTTTTAAGAATAATTTCTGTTTCATTTACTAGATTTATATCAACACTCCCTAAGTTTCTTGTTTAAAATTATGAGTAAATGATTAAAAACACATAGTACACTACACTCTACTAGGGGCGGATCTAGGGGGGTTCATTGAACCCACAATTTTTTTGAAAAAAAATATTATGTTTTAATTTTTTTTTTCATAAAGCTTGAAAAACGAATATACACAATTAATGTGCATGAATATGAGTTAAAAAGTAGCGGAGCTCAGTGATTTTGGCTTGGCACAAAACTTGCGCTTTGGGCTTAATGGTCAGTGGTTAATGGGCTTCTCTTTTTTTTAGCCTATTTTGATTTTTTCTTCTGCCTTTTTTTTAGCCTTTTTCCCCTTGCTTCTTTTTCTTACTCTTTTTTTTCATAATTTTTTCCCCGTTTTCTTCAAGGACAAAGGTTTGATTACCATGTAACCTACATTCAAATTTAATATTGCAACATTTGTAATTTTTAATATTTACTCACACTCCTTCTATTGTTTTTTTTAATTTGTGATTCTCATGTTGGGAAAAAATATGTACAGTCAAATGATATCTTGTTAGATTCAATTTGTATTGAAAAATGCTATAATGATATCAACTTTCTTTAATTTTTACAAAAATGTAATATAAGATATTTAAGTTATAGAATTTGAATTGAAAAGTATAAAATCCTCAACGTAGCAATTTAAAAAGACCAGGAGGCTAGCTATATCTTATTTTGTAACAATACCAAACCCCCACTTCTGAATTCCTGGATCCGCCACTGCACTCTACCCAATACCTTTTCTGTTTTTATTTTTTAAATTTGTAACGTTCTAACACATACACATTTTTTATACAAGTATACTCAACTTTGACTATTTTTTATGATTAACAAATGTCAAAACAGCTATGTGGGGTTTTCTTTAACTTGCCTAAATGTATAATTTCAAAATACCTTGAATATATTCATGGGTTGATGTACTCTTGATAGATGTAATCGTCAAAACATTATAACAAAAAATTCAGAAAACTTAACTCATTTAAAATTAATAATGTGACAACTAAATTTGAAGATGATATAGATATGATTTTGAAATAATGACAACTTACAGTGAATTAATCTTCAAGCCACTCATCCACCAAACATAGGTGTTAAAGAGAAGGAAATCAACACCTAACCAATTTTTGGCATGCTTTGCAATTGAATCCACCTTCAATATCCTCTTCCTAGGATCTCCTACTATGCGGATATCTGAATTTGATTCCACCAGAAATGGGGCCCAGTAAAATTCAATTGTAGCATTGTATTCCTGTTAACACATTTAACATTAATTCAATATAATCCAAGATTATTTTAATTTACTAAATTAGTAGGATTGATTACTTTCAGTAACTGATGTGTTTAGCACGAATTGTGACTAGTTGATAAACTTATAAACGTGATCAACGGATCATTATTAAGACTATTTATTAAAAACTACGAAGTATAATATATCCCCCTTCATCTTGTTGTATCTAAATAACATCTACTCTCTCTCTCTAAAAAAAAAAAAAAAAAAAAAAAAGAACTACTCGTATTACTTTTTGTGTAGAGATGAAAGAGTAAAAAGGAACTCATAGAGCCAAAAATATCGTATTAAATAGCTAAATAATAATAATATACTCCATACTAAAAAAATTATAATATCTTATTAGATATTAAAATATATATATATTTTTTTCAGTTTATCGCATATAGTGCTATATTCAATAAGTTGAAGAGAACATAGTTTAAATAAGGTAATTAATTAAGACCTTGTTCTCTTCACCTTACTTTTGTTGAATTAAAATTATATTTATTACGGAGTACATTAAAATTAATTAAACTAAACTGAAATCATTTATACCGATTCTCTATTATATACTTCCTCCGTTTTCTTTTACTTGCAACACACCTTTTAGGCACGCAGTTTTAGGAGATGATTAGTGAGGATAAACACGATTTTATAAATATAATTTTTACACGAAGATTAGAATAGGGTTAAGTATCATCTGTAAAAATTATAATGAATAATTTATCCGTTTACATTACATAAACTCGACCTCAAAACACGTGCCACAAGGCTGTGTTGCAAGTAAAAAGAAACGGAGGAAGTATATATATATATATATATATATATATATATATTTTAGATGAAGTAAGTGAGGCCTAAAAGGTTAGAGCTTTATTTCCTCATATACTTGTATAAAGTAAAGCTCAAGCATAAGTATCGGAAAATAGTTAAAATGAAGCATTCACATAGTGCACTAAAGAAATCTAGCTAACTAGCTATAATGTAACATCATATAGTCTGATTGATCTTGTTTTAAATTTTTTCTAGAACTAATTATGTATTTTGTTTAATTAATAAACATTATACTTGAATTTATGCATTAAGAAAATGATATAGTAACTATTAAAGTAACTTGCCTTGGCTCTAAAGACTGAATGAACACGTCCACGTTTCATTGACTTTTGATCTTTTGGTATGATTGACTCCACTAGGCAAACAAAAGATTGCCATTGTCCTCTTTGTAATGAATCACCAACAAACAACATTCTCTTCCCTTTTAACTTTCTCAATGCTCTATTTGGATCAAATCTGAAGAGTAAAATCAATTTGCAACTAGTTTAAGCTTTACACTTCTACGAATCTACGTTAGTTCATAGAAGTTTAGTGAGCCACTCCACCGCCCATTTCAATTACTACGTAGTTAAAAGGATGTAATGAAATACAATGATAAATACATCTATATTTATTTTGATCTTTTTTCAATACATATCAGTGGATTGACCCAATCGTTTTTTTTTTTTTTGAAAGTATTGACCCAACCATTTAAGTTTCAATAAACTATAATTAAAAGTTTATAATCATTAACCATAAATAATACTCCCTTAGCTTGGATTCTTTGTTTTTCTTTGCATTTGAAATATAGTGAAAAAAAGGAGTGGAGGAAGTACACCATAATAATACAATAAAAAAGAAACGAACCTTGCATGAAATTCTACACTACATTTATAGATGAAATTAAAATAGATGCATAGTTTGGTCCTCTATATTAGTTTGCCCAATGATGTTTTTATTATTGGCTATTACTTTATATTTCGTTAAGTTGAAAACTTTTACATTTCAAATATGTTCCTTAACTTAGAATTGAAACTAAATCCACTAGAATCAAATTTAAATGACGAGTAATTTTGTTAAGTTGTACGTACGTACCTAGGCAAAGAACATTCATCAGGTTGCCATTGCCAGTAACGATAATCAGAATCAGGTCGTCCATTCTTCACACATGAAACTTGTCTGTCTAGATATGGGCAACTTCTATCCGAGTAAAGAGGTTTTATCGATCGATTATACACCCATCTTCCTTCAGTTATATCACATATATCCGCGTCATACTCCAATTTATCTTCCTCTTCCATATCATCTATTTTCGCCCTTCCACCATCTACCCAACAATTAAAAACACAAACATATAAATAAACAATGCGTTTAAATGCCCTTCAAACGTAAGTAAATAGATTCTAAACATATAAAAAAGCGTTTAAATGCCCTACAAGGGGTGCACATTCGTGTTTGTGCACACACTTAATTTAATTTACAAGGTTATGTCATACATACTAGTGCATGAAATAATTTGCGACTAATATTTCTTACCTGTTGCATCACGGGCGGCTCTCCTAGCCGCGCAAGTGTTGAACCTCATGAAGGAAGTTGAAGAAAGGAAGCTGATTCTTTCATTGTACAATAAAACCAAGAATGCAAGAGCACAAACAACTCCTGCAAGCATAGGAAGATGTAGTTTCCCTCTATATGATTTCATCATTGTGATCATCATGCTAATTACTCCTAGTAATACTAACTTAGAATAATAGTATCAATTCTAAATAACGATTTGAAGGGAAAGATCGATTGATAAGAGAAAAAAGAAGAAGCATTGTGAAGAATTTAAGGGGTTAATTTTGATTTACTTTAAATTTAAATTGGTAGCTGTTGAAGTTAAAAAAGAATTAAACTAAATGATGGAAGACAATTGTTTGTTGCATTATTTTATAGGTTGTTTGAGTAAATGTAAAGCTAAAGGAACTGATAGTTGAGGGAGCTAATTGACCCCTTTTCTTATAAAAAAAAAGCCTTTAATTTGATAATTAAAAGTTGGGTATCTCACATTTTTTCCATGTAGAAGAAGAATGTATAAGATATTCTTTATTTTTGTTGGACATGTAAGATAAAACCTACCAAAATTCCTACTATTGTCGTGTTTATATATGTACGTAATTAATATTTGAAAATAATGTTTGAATTACTTATTAATGAATTTGGTGGAAATCCCAGCTTCATTGTCACGTCCATATATAATTTGGAAAGAATCTTGGGGTACATGCTAATGAATTTGGTGGAACTGTGAAAGTTTTAGCTTCTTATTATAAGCAATAAACATATATATTATTATATACGAATTACGGAGTACAATACAATATTATTAAATACAGACGACTGGATTTATATTTGAAAAATACCCTACAATCTGTGCACAAGCTATAGATTTTAATTTCATAACCATTCGATTAATGTTATTTGAATGCCATTAATTAATATGTGTGGCAATGAAACATTACCATTTTCTTTAAATTTTTTTTTTTTAAGAATGAAGTTATTTTTTTTTACACAATTATGCCGAAAGGTTGGGGATTTATCACTTATTAGAATCAAAATCACGCACCTCGAGAATATGAGGCGACCTCTAGGCTGGCCGCCACTGCACCAAGAGTTCTCTCTCTTAGAATGAAGTTAATAATATGATGTATTCATATCCTTTTTACCATTTATATTTTATTGTTATGCCTTTTATCATATTGTTATTAATTTATCATATTATTGTATACTTAAACTATTGACCATAAACTCATAAGGTATCCAAAAACAAAGCTAAGGTGTTCAAAGTAGATAATATGTTCAAAGTAGATAATAGTATGCTTAGTCAACTTCTTACATTATTTTAAGTAAGATACATGGAGGAGATCAGGTACATATTCTTACAAGACTGTGAACAAGACAAACTTCTAAATAAATCGGACGTACAATAAATATTGTACATTTGTTATAAAGTTACTTTTAAATGAGCAAAAATTACCCTAATATGAATAAAAGTTACCCTGAAAAAAGTAAAAATTACGAAATATTTATACTTTATTGATAAAAGTTACCCAAAAAAATGTAAGAGCAAGATTAGCCCTGTCTGGTCTTAAGATTTTAATTAATTGCCACATCAGATTTTATATTAAATATAATTATTTTTTTTAATTTTAATTATGTTAAGACTTCTTAAGACTCAATCAGATTTATCTCTTCAATTCTAAGACTTATTTTAGATTTCTTAAAATTATTTATTACTTTTTTTTTTCTTTTAACATATATATTTCAATATATATATTTTTGAAATACATATATAATTTTAATATGATATAAATAAACAGCGGGATAACAATTTCTAACCCAATTTAGATGTATGTCATAGTTGAAAAATAATAGCAAAATAGATCAAGAAAAAAAATCAATTATAATGGAACTACATGAATTTAATTGATTTAAAAACGCATGAAATTTTATAATTACTATACACATATTGCATCAAATAGTTGTTAATGTAAAATAAAAATGACTAATGTAAAATTGATTTTTGTATATAAAAAATTAAAAACAACATACATATCTATAAAAAAAAATTTGAAACAACGTACATACATTTTTTTTAACAACGTACATAACTTTTTTTTTTTAAAGAAATTTACATAGATTTTAATGTATTTAAGAAATTAAAAAAAAGGTTTTTTTAATTATCAAAACACTGTGTTTTGATGTATATATAGGAAAAACACTATGTATAGTATATAGATTTGAGTCTTAAGTTGAGTCTTGAGTTTCAAGACTCCATTGCAGATTTTGTTAAGATTTAACTTCTTAAATGCATTTAAAAAACAAAGTTTTGTCTTAAGATCACAAAATCAAAAAATGATGATGTCATCTTGAGTCTTAAGACTCAGGGCTAATCTTGAAGTGACCCTAAATTTGATAAATTACTGTACATTGGATGTATACAAAAGTTACTCAACTATCAAGGAGTAAAAAATAAGCAAATTTACTATCTTAATTAAAACAGATCTATATCTTAATGAGTCGAAGTAGAATAACCGAGAGAGATACAACACAGTTACATAATCTGTTGCCCGATTTCCTTCCCAATAAATATGTCTTATCTGAAAGCTCGAAAAAGAATCCAAAATAGCATTGACATACATATAACGAATTAACGAGTGAGACAATCTAATATTAGTCAATGCTAATTTCAATCATTAAGTTGCATAATAAACAAATGTGATTGAAGTTGTGACCAAATGTTAATGGAGCATTTTTTTAAATTATAAAATGAAGTAACTAGCTTTTGGTCACATTATATGTATATTGAAAATAAGTTTTTATAATAAAATTATGCAATGGATTATAAATATAGATTAAATTAATTATATGTCTTCAAAAAAAAAAATTACATTTATTTTAGTATTCATACTATTTAAAATATATTTTTCCAATCATTATATAATTATTGAAAATCAAAATATATTATCGATTATCAAGTATCTTAAAATCTTTAGTTTACTTCATTCTTCAAATCTTCAAGTGTTGGAAAAAAAATTATCATATAAAGTTCATTACATATTTTGGATTACACATTTTAAATATAGCAATAGAAATAGGTTTTATGTATGAGCAAATATTCATGCTAACAATAGAAATAGATTTAAGGTGACATTCAAACATTAATGCTAACAATTTTAATTTTTGTTTAATGAACAATAATAATTGTATGACATGGGGCCACATTATCTGTCTAGTAATGATAACACATGGCGAGATCATATATTCTCAATGAATTTTAATACTTTTACTAGATGATCTATAATTATATATAGTTATAGATTATTTATTGATGAGTATTATAATCGAAATTAGTCGAGGAATTATAAAAATATGTGATACGTTGATTTTTCAGTTATACCTTCTTATACACAAGTAACACAACTAAAACAATAGTAAGCAAATAATTTGAGCAATATTTTTGCTTGTTGTAAAATAGGGAACAAATTATTTTAAGAATATGATTTTTATTAGCGTCGGTTTGGTTATATATGTTAATATTGTATTTATGTTAAGTTTATCTCGATAGGAGTTTTAGGCTAATCAAGTCTCCAAAATTGTATTGTGTATATATATGTAATTATTATCAATGCAAAGGTCAAGCTGTTTTCTCCACAATATTCTTGAGTTTAACATGGTATCAGACCTCTCTAATTTCTAGAGAATTTTACGATCTTGGTTTGTTCTTCAATTTTTCCGCATTTAATTGTTGAGATTAGGGCTTCAATTTTCTGATTTTTTTTTTACGAGGAATCAATTTGTTTTCTTGGTCGAAATCAGGGCTCACAAACCCTAATTCTTGTTCGATTTTTTATTTATGTTAATATTGTATTTATGTTAAGTTTATCTCAATAGGAGTTTTAGGCTAGTCAGGTTTCCAAAATTGTATTGTGTATATACATGTGATTATTATCAATGTAAAGGTCAAGCCGTTTTCTCCACAATATTCTTGAGTTTAACAGTTTTTTATTTATAGTTGTCCAAATATATTATTAGAAAGATTTGTGAAATTATTTTATTTTAAACATAATAATTACTATGTATTAATATAAATAAGTTTATAAAATAACTAGTTTTGTGCCCGTGCTATGCCCGGGTTGTTTATTGAATTTTAAGATAAATTTTTAATCTATATGTCAAATTTTAAAACATATCATTGATACAAAATTAGTTAGGAATTGATGTGTTTTTTTTTATGATTTAAACTATATAATAGGCATGTAAGGACTCATAATAATAAAATTAGTGAAAAACATTTTTTTGACCCGTAACCTGAAATAATGACCATGTCCGAAATGACTCGTGACCCGACCTGATTGACAGGTCTACACACAGTAATAAAATTATATTAGATTGTAAAGTATATTGTTTTAATTGATTAGAATATATTATAAATAATGGATGTGGTGCATTTTGAGCTAATTCCTTCGCTCCAAAAAAATACTATGATACAAAAAATAAATTTATATGATAATTTGTGAGTGTTATAATTTTTTTTTAATAAAATTATAATTTAATTTGTACATGAAATATTGGTACTTTATCGAAAATAAAACTCTAAATTAACAATTTTATCCTAAAATTCTATCCAAATTTGATTGAAAATAGAATTCTAAATTAACTTTTTTATCCTACAAATTGAATTCTATATAACTCTATCCTACGTGGCGCGACACTTGGCGAAAAGTTGGAACGTCAAGTGTCGCTATCTCGTCGCCTGGCTAAAAGTTTAGCTTTATATATTAGTTATATGATATCATCTTTGTAATTATATAATTTGTTTCCTTAATCAATAGATTTTTTTACAAAAATAAAAAGAAAAATAACTAAGAACACATCGGAAGATGATACGTGTTATGATTACTGTGTCTTTTTAGTATATAGTTATTGATGGATTAATCATCATACCATTTCAGGAAATAAGCGTAAAGATTATGAACTCCATAAGAATTATTATTGCAAGATTTGCAACTTCAATTGTAGACAATACCGGTGTTGTCAAATGTCAATGTTGGTATTTTTTGCTATCCATCAATTTCGGCACTAGTCTTAACATTACTTACTGCATAAGTTATATTCTACCGTTGAGTCGTTGACCCACCTCCATTGTAACCAAGTGATAATGCACAAGTTATATTGTAGATAGAGTAGGCTGGAAAAAAATACAAACAAGTATTAAGGCGTATTTAACAATCTTACATGACTATTTATGTTTCCCCTAGAATATAAATCACCTAAATAGTTTTGTATGGGGGGATATATAAAAAGGGCAGACATCTCAGAAAATGCGGATATGGACTCGGTATGATTGTCAAATGGGCTGATATGTTTCATAAAGCAGACATATCGGCTTGTCGGAACTCGGCACGTGGCA